GAGGGTTTGGATCAGGCCTGACTGCCTCTTTGCTCTAGTTATGACTGTGTCTTCTGCTTGTGTCTCAGCTGCTGACACTGACTCAGCTGTCCCTGGACGTTTTCCCTGGAAGTGCAGGAGTGAAAGGGACTTTAGAGGTCATCGAGGCCAGCCCTCTCATTTTGCTGAGGAAGCGACTGAGACCTAGACCAGGTCGACGGCCTGACCTTGGTCACCCTGCAGTCAGCGGCAGGGCCCGTCCACCTCCCTGTGTCTCTGGACGCCCCCTTGTCTGCTCTCAGTCGTGTGTGTCCTCCTGATGGCTGTTGTTAGATGACTACTCCCCTACTGGGGACTTTGGCCAGTCTCTGGATCTAATTATATTCCCAGGGCACAGGAAGCTTGTCAGTCTCTATCTCACTGTCTCACTTCCTTACCCAGAAAGGTTAATGTTTCACCTTGGACCATCAGTGCAATGGCTGCTTCTCTGACTCTCAAGCTGGATCATGACTTCTTTTACCCCATTCGTGGCTTTTTACATGAGCTTTCTCCTCTTTTGCAAGAGGATGGGATGAAGATGGCAGCCTTGACTCAGAGCTTGCCTTTCTCTGACATTGAACTTCCAAGTCTGCCCAGCGGCTCTGGACTACAGGTCATGCCAGGTTAGGAGTGGGGGTGAGGGACTACAGTTGCTCCCCAGGATGTCACCTGTCCTCACCTTCTTTAGGGTGATAGTGCCTCCCCCAGTTTGCTGGCACTTGCTGAGATTGCAATGCTGGTGCCATCAAGGGTGTCTGCGCTTAAGGCCTGCCTGACAGGACCCAACCAACCAGAATTACTTGGTCTTTGCTTAATTACCCAGCAAGTTATTGTATACAGTAGTACTTATTGTGGCTTGACAAGAGCTGATAAAAATGGTATATTGAAAGTGGTACTATCCTCTTTGTACCGATGGGAAAAGGGTTCAGTCTCTATCAAATTCAAATACCATATTTTTCAAATTTTTGACAAGAAATACATTTTCCATTGTGATCCAGTACACATAAAATTGAAACAAAGCTTTTAGGAAATAATCCTTTTGATGCACTTACATGTGATGCACTCCAATCCATGACATTCCATTAAAAAATGCTGGCTTCTGGGGCTGGCCCCATGGCCGAGTGGTTAAGTTCGTGCGCTCCACTTTGGCAGCCCAGGATTTCTCCAGTTCGGATCCCGGCCACGGACATGGCACAGCTCATTAGGCCATCCTGAGGCTGTGTCCCACATGCCACAACTAGAGGGACCCACAACTAAAATATGCAACTGTGTGCTGGTGGGATTTGGGGAGAAAAAGCACGAACAAAAAAGATTGGCAACAGTTGTTAGCTCAGGTGCCAATCTTTAAAAAAAAATGCTGGCCCCACCCACTAAGTTAATTTCAGGACCTACTAATTGAAATTGAGCGCTAGAAATGATTGACTCTGGGTGGGGAAGCTTTAGGAAAGTCTTTAGAGGGAAATGATGCTTGGTGTGAACCTTGAAAGCTAAAGAGATAATTAACAGCTTGAAAAGAGGAGAAAGGGGGCTTCAGGCAGAGGGAGCCTTGTTAGCAAAGACAGAGAGGTGGGGAGAATTCGATACGTTTGGAGAAGTGTGTGTAGTTTGGGGTGGCTGGCACACGGATATGGAGGAGATATCGTGAGAGAGAAGGTTGGCGAGGTCGTCAGTGCCCAGATCACAGAGGACTGAGTGTGCTGTGTGGGTGTGGGTGGGGTTGGCTGGGTGGCTAGAGGTGGAGAGGATTCCAGGCAGAAGGAACAGCATATGCAAAGGCGACAGCATGTTCAGGGAACTGCAACTATTTGGTGTGACTGGAGTGAAGAGTATCTGTGGGGATGTGCTGGAGGCCTGATATGGCTCTCAGAGTTTTTTTTCCACTAAGAAAATAGACAAGTATATTAGGGCAGTGTTTTCTCAAGGAGAGGGCAATGTGAAGGCAAAGCTTTGGGGAGACTGGAATGACAATGAACCAAAGGTATTGTGCTACAACTGGGGTCTGGGGAACCCTCTGCCCTGGAGAGAATATTGTTCCTTACCTCTCTTTCCAGCTGGATGGAGTTCTGCGTATTCATACTTGAAAGTCTCTCACCTTAACTCTCCTCTTAGAGCAAGCTTTCTTCTTATCTGTAATGCTTAGATAGAGCTGGGGGTCCTGAAAGTCTTCTTTCCATTGGCTTGGGACACATACGCCTTTTCTAGAAGCAACAGCTTCTTGTCCATGCATAGGGAGACCTAAAAACAGGTAGTAGTGTTGTGCTTGTAAAGGAATCAGCATAAAATTGTAGTGAAAACCTTAGAAGAAAACACAGTATCTCCAAGGATACAAGAAAAAAGAACATGAAGTCAGAATCTTCATTAACTTCTAAGGGCCACAAGCTTTAGGGAAAGCTCTAAGGGACTAGAGAGACCAATACTTTCCAACCTAGCAGAGACCATTTTAGCATCTCTCCTCCCATTATTGGGACTATGCACCTTGCTGGAACTTGGTGGTCTGAGCCCTCTGACCCCCGTCCCCTCCCAACTCTCCACATGCTCAAACCTCCTGCCTCTCACCCACTGTCCTGCATCATCCTGCATCTCCCCAGAGCTCCTAACACAATCACAGCTCTCTCCGCACTTGCTAGACGACGTTGCCACAGGAGTCTGTCATCCTCCGGCAGAATGGTCAGGAAATGCTGCAGTGGGAGCAGCTCCAGTATCTGCTCTTTTGTACAAATGTCTGGGCTCAGGCTTTCATGACACAGCTCTTGCAGTCTGCTCAAAATCTCATGGCAGGTTGGCATCACCTGTTATGAGAATTTCCTAAAGCACTGACATAAGATCTCTTGGCTGGTGTTATTTTCTTGGCTGCATTTCTGCCCCCAGTCGTCGTCTTTTCCCATCATCTCTGTCCCATGCCTCTCTTGCTCAGGTGGAGCATGGAGATCCTAGGTTTTTGAGTCCTTGAATTATTCACTTGTCCCAGATGAGATCTGCTGAGCCCAACACCAAGAGTTCTTCGAATTCTTAATTATTTCTCTTTTGGGCCACTCTTCAGATATAATAAGTTATTACCAATGTAGATATATGACAACTGTTGTTGGGAGCATGTATAAAATATACACAAAGCCAGTCACTACTGGAACTTATAATTAAAAATGGAGAAAAGACCTAAAAGGTACCAAAATAATGATAGCTATAATATCTCAACAATGAACAAAATGGGTTTGGACTATATGTCCTATAGAGTTGAAGGGTATTATTTGATTACAAAATTATGTGTAGTTAATCTTAACATCAAGTACAATGTCACAGAGAAAAGGAGATTATCAGATTAATACAGGTCTTGGTTCTTGGGTTATATGGGGTCCATAGATACTTAAATTTTAGAAGGAGACCAAACATACAGAATGAAATCAGTTATCAATAGAAAAGAGCCCAGAGACTGTCTGTGAAGACCCGAAATCCAAACTCGGTCACCTCCAGGGAGGCACAGCGGGATAGGACTATAAACAGAAAAGGTTAAACCAAGTCAACTGCATTGTACTCTAGCTTGAGAAAGAATATGGGGAAGGTATCTCTGAAAGGGATGTTCAGAGACAAAATGACTTCTCTCACCTCTAGCACCTTGGGAGAGTGCTTTTTACCCATGAAGATGATTATCTAGCCAAACTGACAGGTACATCCGTACATGGATGACATGTACATCTAATGACACTGGATGCCATTAAACTTGGTTATCATTCTCCCTGGTATGATTCCATGCTGTGTGTCTCCAATGTAATATAGCATAGCATAAGAATCTGGACTCCCATGTAGATCTCCCTTCAAGAAGGAACGACTATTGGCAAATACAATTATCCAACTGACTGACAATTATATTTTTCACTAGAAAGGAATTAATTAACACTCCAGGAATTAATTATACATTAGTCCCTTTTGAGTCTGGTTAGCATTAGTGTCTTGTGAAGCCTGCTCACCTGTGTGAACTAATGCAAGCAGGTTGCCGGCCCTATAGAGTGGATGACCGGAGTGGAACAAGACCCTCCAGCGTTACTGTCATCCTTAGGCAGGCCTTGCTTGAAACTGCAAGTCTATAACATACTAGTAAGTAACTTCACAGCCCATCTTGACAGAGGTTTGTGCCAAACATGTGAAACTAACTCCTGAAGAGCTTCTACTGTTACTTCAGTAACTAAGCGATATTGAATGAAGTTCAAGGTAATCCTTGTACTAAATTTTATTCCATAATTTCAAGGCAAGTTTCCAGCGGATATCACTTAATGCTTACATACAACACACTTTCATGGTTTTTAGCTACATTCTATTCACAGGAGAAAATGTTAATCATATCTTCCTAAAGTAGGTCCTCCAAGGAGTCCATGAACAAATTTCCTAGGTTTGTCATATGAAGCCTTCAATTGTAGAATTTCCACTTGGAATAATTAACACTTTTTCCAAATACTTATTCCCACTGTTTTGTGGATAATTATATATTGATAATATTTGCTCAATGTTGAGACCTTATCTCCTGTCCATGACGGACGTAGGAGAAAGGGCAAGGCGGTCTCACTTCCTTTTCCAAATGTTATCTGGCTTGTTCGTGCTTCATTAATTATATACTGTTTTCTCGAACGTTTGTAAAACTGAAACTATCCTTACTGAAATCCAGTCACATGATTTTCAAAAAGTAGTTCTGAAATGTCTTGTGAGAAGCGAGACTGCCTTTTGAGAAGCTCCGTGCCCAGGTGAATGACTTCTTTGTGTCGGCATTCCCCAAAATGTGTTCTGGGAAAAACCGCGTTGGAGAGATATTATTAGGGTGTTAACTCAAAAGTCTCTGTGGTCAAAATGCTTGAGAAACACCAGGCTAAACAAAGTTAGGCGAGTTCCATTACTGCAGGGCTCCTCAGAACAACTTAATATTCTATTATTAACTGTGCTAGGAGACCATAGTTCCAATCCCAAACTTATTTGTCCATCTTTTATTTTCCCCTCAGGAACACAGGATGGTAAAAGCTTCTTTATATGAAATACTACGTAACACAATCTTATAGTGTCGGAGAAGGTAAATCCGCTGCACGAAAGAACATATACACACACACAGGATAGGACGGCGGACATTATCCTCATTTTAAAATTGAGGACACTCAAGTTCAAAAACTTCAGGCAGTGAGCGCCTGCGGCAAGTGGCTGTCCTGGAAGAGAAAGAACCCAGCTGGTGTCCCGCAAGTAACCTATAATCGCGAGAGTCCCATTTCTCCTTGGAAAGAGAACGTGATTTTAATCCGCAGGGAGGGCGTGCCCCTCCCACCCTGTACCTTCTGTCCTATTGCAAATTGCGCTCTGTGTGTTCCCCCTTTACCCCGCTGTTCTTCCAGGGCCACGGTTCCTCAGCTTTTGACCTGACTTCTCACTCCCAAATCTGGCCGCAATCAAATATTAAGGTACATCTTTGGTTTTAGTTACTTGACTTTTTTATTTTATTGAGGTCATATTGGTTTTAAAATGGGCAAGACGGCCGTTCTCTCAAATACACAAAAACAGGCCCTAAATTATGTTTTCTTCTTTTTTTAAGTTGGGGCGTCCCCATTATTTTCTATGAGCCAGTTGGCCTCCAGCAGTTATAAAAAGGAACGAAGTCCATAGCTCTGGGTATTCGGGGGACGATCCCGAAGCATCACTCGGGGGAAAAGGACCCCGGCGCCGTGGCTTCGAGGTAGCCCCTCCGTGAAGCCTTCCTCCCCTCACCTCAACTCCGCGGCGTGCGGGTCCGCAGACCAGGCTCCGCCTGCGGCCCCCCGCCCCGGCTTTTGGAACCCGACAACCCTCGGGACACCTCCCAAGAGCCCCAACTTGAGGACAGAGCCTCCCGTCGCCCGCCAAACTCCTTAAAGGGGGCCGGGTGGGGCGTGGCCGGAAGTGGCTCGCCGGGGGAAGTCTGTCTCCGGGGAGTCTGCGTTTCCTCTCTAGGAGTTGGGAGGTATCCGCACTTCTATGGTCTGGACCTCGCGCGGAGCTGCAGCACGAAGGAAAGGGGGCGCCGGGTCCGGCGGGTTAGAGCGCTGAACCCTGCCTCCCGTTTTCTACCTGTGTGCACTTGGCAGCACTATTGGCAGAGAGTCGGAAATTGCCCTCGTCACGATTTTAAAAAATGGAGATACAGAAACCCAGTAAGGCAGCCGCAAAACTCCTCAACGGTTTTCTAGCCGTTTTTTGTTGGTGTATGCGCACATATTTTGACCTGAGTCTAACTTTCATGCAATAACACTGCTAAAATGACCCTAAATAATTAAAAAAAAAAAAAAAAAGGCTTTGCATTTGAAGTACCTTTTAAACTTGAACCCCCGGCTGGGGCTGGACCTGCTGCTCCCGTCCCTTCTCACAGAGCCAGCCCTCTTGTTCCCAGAACTGCAGGGATGAATGAGCACACCTGCTCCTCCCCTCACCCCTGGGCGCCCAGCTGGCTCATCTGTTGATTCAGAGGTTCATGTTACCAACTTTGACTACTCTCTTATTTGGATTTTCGGCTCTAAAAAGAGAAAGGGAAAACTATACAAATACAAATATAGAGTCTAATAAAATTAGAATTGTTTAGGTTTAAAAAATGTAATAGCATCCAACACAGAAAAGGGTGTGGTGAAATTAGTTCATTCTGGGCAAACACAATGGAAATATGCAATCCTGTTGAAAAACTACTTGGCATCCTGTATCAAAACTCATTTAACTCATTTAACATGAGATGTTATCTGTGGGAAATTTATCCCAACCAAATAATCCAAGAGAAAGGAAAAGCTGCATTTCTGAAATTATTCTACAATAGATAACTGTTGATTTTGCTTGCCCAACATCCAGTTTTCTTTTTTCTGATTTTAATACTATGATTTTTATGTGGGAAACTAGTTAGCTCTCATTCCACTTCTGGGGTGGGCACATGACCCAGGCTGGACAATCAGAATATCTCAGCATGGCATGGAGGTAAGGTATGAAGCCAGAGGCCAGGCTGCCTGGGTCCTAATCCTGCCTCTGCTGCTTAATAGGTACTTAATGAACTTCAGCTTGTTCTTTATCCTCTTTGAGTCTCAATTTACTCGCTTGTTGAATGAGGATATTGATAATAAACATCAACTTCCTAGGGTTGTGGTGAGGACTAAATGAATGAAGCAGGTATGCTAAGGCCCATCATGTACTACCGTTATCATTTCCCATCTTCACACCTCTGAGCAGGTTCTCACCACCTTTCCTTGACTTACTTTTCTTTTTGTCTTCCACATACTCCAATATCATCTACTGCAATATCTCAGAATTCTATTTTCTTTCTTTCTTTCCTACTGGAAATACCCTAAAGTCAGGACCGTGTCTTATTCACCTTTATACCTGGGTGCTTAACAAAGTTCCCACTCCAGAAACGGTCCTTAATAAAGGTTTGTTGAACAAAACTGAATACTCTCCAACACAGAGCAGAGAAGGCTGGAAGAATGAATGAAAGTGTAATAAATCCTAGAGGATAAACAAAAGGGAAATAGAGAGAACCACATGAAGCTAGAACAATTTTCTTACAAGAAATGGCTCGATCCCTGGGGATTGCAGACTCTATTTCTTCCTGGCCCTGAACTTACTCTCATATGGTGGGCGGATGAGTTCCAGCGATAGACTGGTACCTAAAGCCAACTTTCTGAATTACTGCTTCCCTTTTCTTCCTTTGACCCATCTCTTCCCCGGGGGATTGGCAGGAGAAAAGACGACTGCCTTCAGAGTGATCAGATCTGCACTGAGGATATCAGATACCACTCTGCAAGACCAATATTCATGTGTAAAAACTCATACATACAAGGCAAAGTAGAGAGGCAGCTCAAGGGGGCGGGCTTCATTCAGTGCATGGAGCAGGTGGATCATGCCAGCCAGGAAACCCTTTCTAATGAGTGATTGCCTTGCTTCTGATGGTGATACTGGGTTAGTGATATCAGCATCTATTTCTCTGCCATATGAGACTCCCTTGGAGCCACACTCATCTGAGACTCAAAAATTCTTAGAGTTGGTAGAGATGGACAGGAACATTTAGATTACCACTGAGTGTAGTGTAGATATCATCTATGTCATCTTGGGCCATGGCCACGGCCGCTTAAGCTATGAACACTCCAATGACACCCAATTCCCTGGTCTATGAGATAACCTATTGTAGGGGCATTAGCTGGCATGCCCCTTTAAAAACCATGTGTCCTTGAGGCTCCTGTCTGCGCTATGTGCCAGCACTCATGATGCTAACAGTCCTGGGCTTGGCCAACCCAGCTGCTTTCTCATGGGAGAGTTAGCACCAAAACCCTTGCGGTCTGAGGGAACACAGAGGCCCTCTGGGGGCTCTGGTCCTTGGAATGCAGGTCATACAAGGACGATCCCCCTTGCCACGCACATAGCCTTTGTTCCTCTGTCTACTTAAGCAAGCTTCTCTCAGGGGTTGATAGCGGGTGCAGGTCACTGTCCAGCTAGCCACCACTGGACCTTTCCTGTAACTCCCAATAAACCCATATGCTTTGTTTCTGTCTCCAGGTCTTTTCTTTGGTGTCTTGGCAACTTATCCCACACTGCTCACCCAGATGGGCGTGTGGCAGAACTCTTGGTGAGCCAGCCAGGAGAACAAAGGAAACTGTGTGAGTGCCAAGACTATGGGGGATGGGAAGGGGAAATCCATGGGGGTAATCCCGGGTTGGCTGATGTCCTCCTTGTGGGGGCCAATTGCCACCATCCTTGATGGATGGGGCCCAGTGCATGAGGACGGGGACACCCTGAAAATGCCAAAGGACGTAGGGGAAAGTCCTGGGCATGAGAGAAGCCCAGGCCATTGCCACAGCTGTGGAGTAACCCCTCTCCACTGTAGGACAGCTTGCAACAAAGGTAAGGGAAGTCATATGATAAATGATGAGAGAAAGAAATCAGAAGCCTGAGCGGTAGCTGCTGCGGTGAGATGGCCCCTCCTTGCCACTGTTCGCTTAACAACAAAAGCCAAAATGGAAGCTAAGGCGAAGGTGAGGCAGCTACAAGAGAAATTAAAATTAGAAAGGGAAGCACAGCTGGTTCAAGTCAAAACGATCGAGGCTCTGTCAACACGCCTAGGGGAGTCTGATGAGAGGACAGAGGTCTGACCAGCCCCAACTGCAGGGGTAGAGCCCACGGATCTGCCTCAGCCTGTTTGGCATGTGCATTCCACCATGTGGGATTTCACTGCTGCAGAACTGGAGGAATTGGGGAGCAAGTAAACTAAGCAGATGTGAAAAGGGTAAAAATTTGAGGGGGAACCTTTTAACAATAGTTATATATTATGGTATATGTATTTAAAATAGCCCAAGATGATGGCTAACTGTTTAATGTCAGATGAGGTTTTTGTGAGTAATCTAAACATAATTCTTGGGAACAAATGATTTAAATAAAAATGGGTAAGAGTTTTCAGGTACAATAATTAGGTTTTATAATATAAACGCTTGAAAAACAGCTTCCAAAATCTTTTTGGTAACTTGAAACTTTAGGGTTTTGCTAAATTAAGTTAAATGATAAAAATTCATGGAGTATCTTGGTCATTTTCACGTAAGATAAAATCTTAAAAATTGATTACTAAGCATAGATTTGTCTGCTTTTGTTTTCATGTCTCAAAGAACCTAAAAGATGCTTGAGTTTATTGATAAACGTGTTTTGTACCTGATGAGGAATTTTCTATGAGAAAACATATTTCTAAAAAGTCTCTATACAAGGAAAGTAAAATGTATGTTTTCAATAAAGAAGGTATAAAGAACAGAGATATTTTTCTTTATTTTGTTACAAAAGATAAATTTGTCCTAAAGTACTAGGAAGGAAAAAAAAGACGTGGGACAAAGTCTAAATGTAAAAAGTAAGTGACAAAAGGTTTGTGGAAGTAAAACCTCAAGGAGTTTTGTGTATGGTCAAGTTGGCTGAGATTAAAATAAATAAGTTTCAATATCAAAAGTAAGGCAGTCGCATGAAGAGCTGCGGGCTCCAGCGTGTGCACAGGAGCAAGGGCAGGCCAGGAGCCCGTCTGGCCGGGGGCAGACAGTGCCTGCGGGGGAGGGAGAACACGGTAAATGCATGGTCCAGCCACCCTGCCCCAGCACAAGCAGCAGGTGGCCAGGACTCCCTGCCCCTCCCTTCTCTCTGGCATCAGCACGACTGAGGCTCAGCAACGTGCAGAGACAGCAATCTGCACAGTGACTGCTGTAGCCCGGGGAAGCAACAAGCACCCCTTGGGAAAAAGTGATAAACAACCAAACGCTGTTCTGGTGGCTCTAACAGTGCCCCCAGTGACAGCTGGGGAACACCCTAGCCCCCTCAACTTGGGGGAGCGCCAAAGGAACTCGACCCATCCCTGCAGCGCCTGCAGATGGCTTGGGTATTGGGCGACTAGAGATCACATGTGGAAATAATGTCTTGGTCTACAGGAGCAAAAAGCATTTTGCTGTTGGGGGTGGAAATGAGCAAAACGGCTTCCGTTACTTCTCACCCCACCCTGCAGCAACGCTTCTGTAACACCGCCTGGTGGACAAACCCCCCTGCGCTTGCCTTGTTTCATTATATTGATGGTGTCATGTTAAGTTCTGAATCTTTTCCAGATCTTCAAGAAGCCTCCAGCTCCCTCATCGCCCACCTATGCCAATGAGGATGGGTCGTAAACAACAATAAAGTCCAAGGGTCTGGGTTGTCTGTCAAGTACTTGGGTGTTGTCTGGTCGGGTCAGACAAAAGCGGTTCCTGCTAGTGTTATAGATAAGATACAGGCTGCCTGTCCTCTTTAAAAGTTGGTGCCAAAGGGTATTATCTGGGACAGGGGGACCACCAAGCAGGAGGCCTTCACCCAGGCCAAAATAACAGTGAAACAAATCCAGTCCTTGGGTGTTTAAACACAAGGACAACCGTGTGAATTGGGCGTTTCCAGTTACTCAGAGGGTTTCAGATGGGGTCTCTGGCAGAGGCAAAGCAATAAATGAGTGCCCCTTGGCTTCTGGTCCCAATTGTGGAAAGGGGCTCACCCTGTGGATGGCACAATGGGCACAACAAAAGTGGCCTATTAATGGTCTCCCATTGTGGGGGGCAGAACTCTAGGATGGTATCTGGCAGCGGGTCCAGGGAATGACGGTAACAGTGTACCATGTGTCTGCACATCAGGTGACACCACCACCAGGAAACCAACAAGCAGAGGAGTTAGCTCAGATCCGTCTCCTGGAAGAAGTACCAACTCAAAGAGTGGCAGAGTGGCTACACAAGAAGACTGGACACAAAGGACAAAGGACCTATGGGCTATTGCTAAGGCCTGGGGCCTCCCCCTGCGCTGTGCTGACGTGGTGCAGGTCTGCCGGGTGTGCCCTTCTTGTTCCTTGCAGAGGCCCTGGGCCATTCCCTGGAACAGAGGCCACTTGCCAGAAGCAACCAGCCCACTCAACACTGGCAGATGGACTACATCAGGCCCTTGCCTCTTTCTGGTGGCTGTCGGTACGCCCATACTTGTGTGGACATGCCCACAGTACTGCTGCAGGCATACCTCAGCAAGAGGGCCACACAGAAGACCACCATGAGAGGCCTGGGACACCTCTGTGCTGTGTACGATGTTCCCATGGACATTGGCAGTGACCAAGGTACACATTTTACTGGTTACCAGGTGGAGACATGGGCTGATCAAATGGACAGACATTGGCATTTTCACCTGCCATACAACCCCACGGCCATGGAGCTGGTGGAACAGATGAATGGCTTGCTGAAACAACAATTGAGGACAGAAGAGACGATACCCTAGCCCACTGGATGAGATGCCTGACAATGACATTACATCAACTGAATAAACATGAGATGCACTCAACCCAGTGCATATCAGATGTTGACACAAGGACCTGATGTGACAGTATGTCTACAGACAAGGCCTAATCAAAGAGAGAAACTACAACCACAGCTGGGCACTAAGAACAACTTGCTTTTGCCTCTACCACAGAACTCCCTACTGGGACCCACATGGTCACTTGGCCCTGGGACTGGCAGGTGGAGCCCCACTGGTATCGTCTCTTAACCCCTTGGGGGACAGGCTTAACACAGGATATCATGGTAACACCTCCAATTCCCCAAGGCATTTTCATCCTTTCGCTCTAATGTCTTTATGGATGGTCATGACCTCTCTGTTCTAGTCTCCTCTAAACATCTTACTTTTCGTCCTTAGGACAATGTCTGCCAGCCTTTTCGCTGCTTGGGCACACACCGTTGCTGACATCAAAAACTGCTCCAACTGCTGGGTATGCAGCGAGCTGCCTCTCTTCAACCACGGGGCGACCATGGCGTCTCCAAGCTGCCAACACCTCTGATGGAAGGGCCCTACAAGAGTGGAGGAACACTGCCCGCTTTCCTATTTCTACGCCCCTCCACCTGGTGACATGTTTTCTTTGGTGTCCTTGCCTTTTTACTACTTTTATTTTCATATTGTGCTCTCTGTTGCTGTTGTGGTCTCAAGCTACAATGCTCTTCCTGTGTCTAGCTCGAGGGAAACCGTGGAAGACTGGCGTAATGATATCGTAAGGGCCGTTCCAACACGTGGGGGGTGGAGTGTAGGGGCATTAGCTAGGGTGCCCCTTTAAAAACCATGTGTCCTTGAGGCTCCTGTCTGGGCTATGTGCCAGCTCTCATGATGATAACAGTCCTGGGCTTGGCCAACCCAACTGGTTTCTCATGGGAGAGTTAGCACCAAGACCCTCTCGGTGTGAGGGAACACAGGGGCCCTCCGGGGGGGCTCTGGTCCTTGGAATGCAGGTCATACAGGGACGAGCCCCCTTGGCAGGCATTCAGCCTTTGTTCCTCTGTCTACTTAAGCAAGCTTCTCTCAGGGGAGGCAGCGGGTGCACCTCACCATCTAGCTGGCCACCACTGGACCTTCCTTGTAAGTAACTCCCAATAAACCCATATGTCTCGTTCACTGTCTCTGGGTCTTTTCTTTGGTGTCTCGGCAACCTATCCCACACTGCTCACCCAGATGGGCGTTTGGCAAAACACCTATTTAGTTTATGGGACAGTTATAGTTACTGGAAAGTTTTTCCACTGAGTCCTAATTGGTTTTTATGTAACGATGTCCCAATTCAGGTTTTCCTAATCCTTGGCAATCTTTGGTGTTGCAACATGAATCTAACAGATATAGAAGGACCTCCAACTTCCATCCAGTGACTGTGAGGTCAGTGATGTCACATTAGTAGTATTTACACCACAGAAATTGGCCATGTCACAAATCAGATCTACCCCCTGCCAAAACCAAAACCCAGAACACTGCTCACAAGCCACTAGCTGCCCTCGTGCTTGTGTGAAACCCACTGATTAGGAGGGAATGTAAGATATGCACCAAGTATTTACAACCCAAAGTTGTAAGTGGAAAATGCCATGTGTGGCACAAACTCAATGCGGAAGGAGTGAGGAGAAGGGAAGCGTCCCCTCAGACAATGCAACTTGATCTGAGTTCTGAGGCAGGGGGAGCAGAGAGAGGGTTTCATTCGTCAAAAATATGGACGAGGGGATTTTCAGCAGAACAACTGGCAAGAGAAAAGACCTGAAGGTGAGAAAATCCACCAGGTGCCTGAGAAAAAGCAAATTTCAGAGCGGGCGAGGAAAGAGACTCCATGGTGAGCAGCAGTGAATCTATGGCTGAAAAGTCAGATTGGGCCAGACGATGAAAGAATCAACCGTATTAGGGAGGAGGCTGGGAGCCACCGAAGGTGTTTGAGAAAGGGAGGGACATTACAATAGCAATACCTTTGGAAAATTAATTCTCTGAGCTTGCACTTTGAAAAATTGAGATATAATTTGCACACCATAAAATTCACCCTTTTAAAGTGTACAATTCAGTGGTTTTAGTATATTTGGAAGGATATGCAACCATCACCAACCACTATCTAATTCGAGAACATTTTCATTACCCCAAGAAGAAATTTCACAGTCATTAGCAGTCACTCCCCATTCCTCCCTCCCCTAAAGGTTTGTACTTTTTATAAAACACCCAATTTGGTGTCTGTAAAGTGGCTTGAATTTTGAACCCACATGTGCTGTCTACCAAAGATAAAGAGAAAAAGGGAAAGAGCAGAACTAGGTTTTTCCAAGGTTCAGGTGATGTAACCAGACATCTCTCTCTCTGTAACTCTGCATCTCTGTATCTATCTGTGGAGAGAGAAAAAAAATAGAGAGAGAAGAGAGAGAGAGAAGGCAATATTAGATCCATACATGGGAGCAGAGAGAAATGAGCATGCGTGAAGTAGATCCTCAAATGCACTATCTGAATAAATTAGAAGTTACGAATGTTAAAAAAAATTCCTGCAGGGGTTATTTTTTAAGTTTTCTTTGCATCTCCTGTATCAGTTATCTTCCTGTACCCTTCCAGCCATTGCTATTCCTGGGGAAACCGAGGGAAAAAGCAGAAGGGGCAGTTACTTTGGAAAACCCCTTGCTTGGAAAGCCTTCAGAAAGACAGTTGCTCTCTGCTGCCCTCTGGGCTCTCCACAAGGGGCCGTGAGGGCTGCTGGAAGCAGGAGGAGGGCCTGGGAATCCAGGGCTGTGGTGCCCGAGGCACCCCACCCAGGCATGGGGAGCGTCTGAGCACCAGGAGAGGATCCTCAGCTGGTGTGCAGTCTACTGAAGCATCTTTTGCAGGATGAGCGTGTTTGACAAAAGAAGGGGACCACATAAGACTAATACAAATGGGCTGCACCAAGGGTACATTTTCCTGGGGTGGCCTCTCCTAAAGTGAATGCTTCTTGCCCGCCACCCCACCCCTCGCTGATCACTTGTGGTAGGAATGGTCGGGCATGTCCTTGGAGCGCTCAGTTTTGTTGAATGTCTGCCACATGGAATCCCATTTTGGGGTGGCTGGTCTGAGTCCAGAGGGGCCTGGCTTTGTCGGGAGCACTAAATCCCACTCTGCCAGCCTTCGGGCTGATCGAGCTTTTTATTCTACTTAGAATACTAAGGCCATATGATTTTAAAATCGGAGTGGACTTTTGAATTCATCGTTTGATCCTTTCTTATTACGAGGGAGAAACTAGAGAACCAGAGAGATTAGGTAACTAGATCAAAGCCACCCCTCCAATTAATCCATAGTGACAGAAAGCGGATCAGTGGTTGCCTGGGGACAGCAGGGGGAGAGACCACAAGGGACACAAGGCAGCTTTTGGATGTGATGGATATGTCCCCCATCTCGATCATGGGCATAGTTTCTCACGTATATACATATATATATATATATCAAAACATTGAATTGTACACTTTAAATACGTGTGGTTTAGTGTATGTCGATTATACGTCAATAAAGCTGTTAAAAATAGTCACACTTCCGGTCAGAGGCAGAGCAGGGTCAGGACACACATCTTCACACTTCCCCTGAACCCCAGCGCCGTCTTAAAACCGAAGCCTATTTCAAGTTGTGAAAATGCCTTTTCTCATAATGTCATGTTTTAAAAACTCCATAGTTTCAAATTTTTTATGATGAAAAATAATAATGCGCTTAACAAAACAATAGCAGATGCCGGTCAACAGTTCCACCCTGACCTGGTCCATAGATAGACAGAAGTGTTTCTCCCCGGGCTTAGGAGGAAGGTGGGGACAGAGCAAGATGTGATTTTGTTCCATTGGCCTATGTTTATCTCTGGCAATGCTTGGGAAATGCATCATCTCTGGATGCATCCAAACTGTTTAATTTGGGATAAAAAAGATAAGGATGGGTTTTTATAGGACTGTACTTTGTGGCGTAGCTGATGGCCTCCACTGGGCCAAAATAATTTCTGAACAAGCCCTGGATGAGGAAGAGGCAGGAAACCTTCCAGAGAAGTTCTAACTCCTCTTTTCCTCCCTCTCTCCCTGATCAAACACAGCCAGGGCCGTCAGGTGTGGCCAGCTTCCGAGGTCTAAAATAGCTTCTTTGTGGGGAAGGTGAAAGAACAGGGAGACGGGTGTGTGCGCTCCACCCACACTTGGCTTTATTGCTGAACTGGAGCTGACCAATGGGTGCACAGAGAGCGTCTGTCCAGCCGGCCCGGTGTGCTCACTGCATGGCAAACAACGCCTCTGGGTTCCCCACCAGAATCTGTTTTCCTGAGCTGTTGCCTCTTTAGCATCAGCTAGGAAGAAACATTCACGCCTCTAAGGTGGTTCCTTCCTATTACTTTTTAGAATTGCGAATGTCATACGCGCTTGTAACAAATTCAAACAAGACAGAATCATATGAAATGTAAACAGACGATAGAGCCTGAGCAATGGCCCAGGGAGTCAGAGGAATTCACTGTGATTTCTGGCCACGTCAGGGAGTCAGGGAGACGTCAGTGCAGGTGTGGGAGGTGCTGTTACTGAGTCATCCAAAGTGCTCGCGGACACGGAATCAACTCTGAGAGCTGTCCTCTGGGCGTCCACAGTATGAAAGACGTGTAACCCATTGTGCTCCTTCTTCACATTTGGTTCCTCGTGTCCCTCCCACCCCCGGATCCTTTGCCCTTCTCTGCCGGGCGCTGTGCTCCAGGAGATGGACCCTAACACACTGTATCACTGGTGCTCTATTGCTCTCTGGTGTCTGGACTGAACAATGGGAGGCACCAGAAGGAGAGAGAGTCGGGGTATTTATCCCCCAGCATCCTCTCTAGCAATGGCTGTGTCCCTCTAAGGCGATGGCCCTGCATGGCATTCCTCCACCAGGGCTCCAGCTCTCCACCCCTTGGGGCCTGGGTAATGGCAGTGGCTTCCCATGGTTGCTATTCTCTGGAAGTCTCAACACCCTTCGTGGTTCCTTAACCCTGCCCCAGCTCTAAGAAGGTCTCTGTCTGGAAGCCATTTGATGCATCCATCATGTTGAAATTAACTGTTTAAGATTCTTCTCCTCTCCCACTCTGGGAGGGGACCCAAGGGCTGGGAGCATGACTGTTTAAGTTTTATCTCTTCAGCGCTGACAACAGGGGACTGAAACAAGTGTTGAGTTTACCAGGGTGTTGGGACATTTTACTGGGAGGGACCTTAGACCTGGGTTTTAAAGGTCTGCTGTGTGGATGACCACATCATTGTGCCTGGATGAGGTTTATCCTATGGGGGACAAGGTCCAGGCCCACACAGACCTCATTGTATAGTAACCAGGGCAAGAGGGCCTTAACAATTTAGGCCTTGAATCACACCGTTTCATTGGTGAGAAGGAAGACATTGATGACTATAGTGACAATGATGATGATGATGATGGAATGTCCACTTAACCTCACTGAGTCACAGGAGATTTCATTTTAGCACTTTTTCCCTTTGCCATATTGTAAGATATTGGCTTTTTTTTTTTTTGAGGAAGGTTAGCCCTGAGCTAACATCCGCCACCAAGCCTCCTCTTTTTGCTGAGGAAGATTGGCCCTGAGCTAACATCTGTGCCCATTTCCTCTATTTTATATGTGGGACACCTGCCTCAGCATGGCTTGATAAGTGGTGCAGAGGCCCGCGCCTGGGATCTGAACCTGCGAACCTCGGGCCGCTGAAGCGGAAACAAACAAAATTTATAACAGTTTGATCAAGTACCTGTCAGCTCCTTGAGACAGGGACTGGGTCATATTCTGCTTTGAATTCCTGGCTCTAGCACAATGCCTGGCATGCAGTATGTTTCTTGTTTAAATGAATAGGTGAATTAAGTCAATTATTTTTTTCAGGATACTGTCACTAACCTTTGAACACCACGTTACACATTAGGCCCTTTTGGTTGCAAGAAACAAAGATTCAAGATATGTGGGAGGATTTGTGAAGACACACATGCCCCCTGAAAGACACGGGGTGAGGTTAGCCCTAGGGAAGCTGTGTTGGCCTCATGGCCCCTCTCAACCTGTTTTGTTTGTTTTCTTTTCTTTCTTTCTTTTTTTTTTTGGCTCGGAAAGATTCACTCCGAGCTAACATCTGTTGCCAATCTTCCTCTCTTTTTTCTCCTCAAAG